ATTTTGAGGCTGGTCCCCCACCCACCTGAGACCACCATGGGGCCCAGGGCTGGTCCTTGACCCACCTGAGACCACCGTGGGGCCCAGAGATGACCCCCCACCCACCTGAGACCACCGTGGGGCCCAAGGGTGACCCCCCACCCACCTGAGACCACCATGGCCATGAGCAGGTCAGCGTGGGCCGAGCGGGAGCTGATGATGTGCTGCTGGAGCAGGAACTGAGCCACCTCCACGATGTTGTTGAAGGAGCGTTTGAGGATCTTCTCGGCCCAGTCGCAGGTCAGGGCGCAGGCGGCCTCCATCACCTCGCTGGGGTAGGACTGCACCAGCTCTGACAGCTCTGACTGCTGCTGGAGGGGGGGAAAATGGGATGGGAGACCCCCCCAGACCCCAAAAACGCCCCAAAATTCAAAATAAATCCCCCCCCAAAATACCCCAAAAAATTCCCCCAAAAAATTCCTAAAAAATCCCCCAAAATCCCCTCAAAAAATCACCAAAAAAAATCCTAAAAAATCCCCCCAAAATACCCTCAAAAAATCACCAAAAAAATCCTAAAAAATCCCCCCAAAATACCCCAAAAAATTCCCCAAATAATCCCCCAAAATCCCCCCAAAAAATCCCCCCCAAAATTCCAAAAAAATCCCCCCCAAAATACCCAAAAAAATTCCCCAAAAAATCCCCCCAAAAAATCCCCCAAAATCCCCTCAAAAAATCACCAAAAAAATTCCTAAAAAATCCCCTAAAATCCCCTCAAAAAATCACCCAAAAAAATCCTAAAAAATCCCCCCAAAATACCCCAAAAAATTCCCCAAAATACCCCCAAAAATCCCCCCCAAAATTCCAAAAAAATCCCTCCAAAATCCCCCAAAAAATTCCCCAAAAAATCCCCCAAAATCCCCCCAAAAAATCCCCAAAAAAATTCCCAAAAAAATTCCCCCAAAAATCCCCCCAAATGCCCAAGACCCCCAGGACCCCCCCAGTCCCCCTTTTCCCCCTCCCAACCTCCCCAAAACCTCACCCAAAAATGCCCCAAAATTCCAAATAAACCCCCAAAAAATCCCTAAAAAAAATCCCCCAAAATTCCCCAAAAAATTCCCAAAAAATCCTCCCGAATGCCCAAGACCCCCAGGACCCCCCCAGCCCCCCTTTGATGCCCCCCAAGCCCTGCCAGGACCCCCCAAACCCTCCCAACTCCCCCCCAAAACCTCACCCAAAAACGCCCCAAAATTCCAAATAAATCCCCCCAAAACCCCCTCCCCAAAATTCCAAATAAACCCCTCAAAATCCCCCCCAAAAATTCCCCAAAATTCCCCCAAAAAATCCCCCCAAAATGCCCCAGACCCCCAGGACCCCCCAACCCCCCCAAAACCTCACCCAAAACCGCCCCAAAATTCCAAATAAACCCCCAAAAATCCCCCCAAAAATTCCCCAAAATTCCAAATAAACCCCCAAAGCCCCCCCAAAAAAATCCCCCAAAAAAATTCCAAAAAAAATTCCCAAAAAACCCCCCCCAAAACCCCCCAGAACTCACAGTCTCAGTGACTTTGAGGTCGAGGCTGGGCAGGGGAGGAAGGCTGACCACGGTCTTCCTCCTGATCCCCCCGTAACAGTACGTTGGGAACCGTCAAGGGATTTTCCTGCCACGGGAATGGGCCCAAAAAAACCCTCCGGGAGCCCCCCCAGACCCAAAAACGCCCCAAAATTCCAAATAAATACACCCCAACCCCCCCCCCAAAAAAAAAAAAAAAAATTCATAAGAAAACCCCCCAAAAATTCCCAAAAAATCCCCCAAAAATTCCCCAAAAATTCACAAGAAATCCCCCCCAAAAATTCCCCAAAAAACCCCCCAAAAATTCACAAGAAATCCCCCCAAAAAATTCGCAAAAAATCACCCCCAAAAAATTTGCAAAAAAATCCCCCAAAAATCCCCCCAAAAATTCCAAAAAATCCCCCAAAAATTTGCAAAAAATCCCCCAAAAAATTCGCAAAAAATCCCCCAAAAAATCACAAGAAATCCCCCCAAAAAATTCCCCAAAAAAGCCCCCAAAAAATCCCCCAAAATTCCCCAAAAATCCCAAAAAAATTCCCCCAAAAAACCCCCCAAAATTCCCAAAAAATCCCCCAAAACTTCACAAGAAATCCCCCCAAAAAACCCCCAAAAATTTGCAAAAAATCCACAAAAAATCCACCAAAAATTCCCAAAAAATCCCCCCAAAAATTCACAAGAAATCCCCCCAAAAAATTCCCCAAAAAGCCCCCAAAAATCCCCCAAAAAAACCCCAAAAATTCTCCAAAAATCCCCAAAAAAACCCCCAAAATTTGCAAAAAATCCCCAAAAATCCCAAAAATTCCCCCAAAAAATCTCAAAAAATTCGCAAAAAATCCCCAAAAATTCACAAAAAATCCCCCAAAAAATTAAAAAAAAAACCACAACAAAAATTCCAAAAAAATCCCCCAAAAAAACCAAAAAACCCCCAAAAAAAAAGGGAGATGTCCCCCAGGACACCTTCAGGGATCCCCCAAAACCCCCCAAACCCCCCGGGACCCGACGCCTGCGAAGCCACGAAACGAGTGGGGCAAAAAAATCGAGGGAAAAACCAAAAAAATCCGGGAAAACCCGGGAATTCCGGAGGCAGGGAAGGATATTTGGACTGTCCTCGGCCCCCCAGGCGCCGGGCCTTGATGTTGGGGAAGATTTCCCGGATGATCTTCCCGAAATTTGCTGTGCTCAGGGGGCGGGAGCCCAGGTTGTCGCAGTATCTCCTGGGGGGAGAGGGATGGGGTCGGATCAGGGAGGAATTCCTGACATTTCCATGCCTTGGGAATGGTGTCCCTGTCCAGGGAATGGTGTCCCTGCCCTGGGAATGGGGTCGGATCAGGGAGGAATTCCTGGTCAGGAAGGAATTCCTGACATTTCCATGCCTTGGGAATGGTGTCACTGTCCTGGAATGGTGTGCCTGTCCTGGGAATGGTGTCCCTGTCCATGGGGTCACCCTGTCCCAGTGTCCATGGGGTCACACTGCCCTGGTGTCCCTGTCCCTAAAGGACA